GCCCCGACCAGGGCCCGGGCCAGGGAGGAACCTGCAGCCGAGGTACGTGCCCTTGACCGGAATCGAACCCGGGACCCTTCATTCCACAGGCCGACGCTCCATCCACTGAGCCAAACCCGGCCAGGGCTAAAATATAGAGGCTTTTTTTAAAAAAAAATACATTTTATTGATTTTTTACAGAGAGGAAGGGAGAGGGATAGAGAGCCAGAAACATCAATGAGAGAGAAACATTGATCAGCTGCCTCCTGCACGCCCCCCACTGGGGATGTGCCCGCAACCAAGGTACATGCCCTTGACCGGAATCGAACCCGGGACCCTTGAGTCCGCACTCGGAAGCTCTATCCACTGAGCCAAACCGGTTCTGGCGAGGCTTTTAATAATGGGAGGTATCTAGTTATGTCGTACGTACGTACGTTTCTCTGCTAGGAAGGTGGCAGTACAACTTAGCTTACCCTGTTCTTGGGCCAGGAGAAAGCAGATATCTGGTAGCTAGTATTTCAACCACAATAGTAGTAGACATTTTTTTGAAAATTATGCTACGTAGTATTTATTATACTTACCTTGTGTTTGTATAGCAAGGCCCCAATAGGTCATGACAGGGAGGGTGAATATATCTCCAGCAAGTTGATAGTAAATTTAAAAAAACATTAGGCCTCCAATCAGTCTATTATTATCGCATAATCCGTCACAGGACTTGTTTCCAGGCTCTATGAAGACATTTTACAACCAAGTAATAAGACAAACAACTCAATTAAAAGAGAGGCAAAAGATTTCACAACACCGCACAAAAGATGATACACGCATTCCAATCGTCGTGTTCAAGCACGCTCAGCATCGCGGTTCACCAGGGAAATGCAAATGCAAATCCAGGTCAATATAAGGTGCCACCACACACCCAACAGAGCGGCTAAAACCAAAAAGGCTGACAGCTGACGTCTTGGGGAGCCTGGGGAACGTCATCCGTTGTTGTGGGAACGGACAGTGTACAGCCCGTTTGGAATATAGCTCAGCACCTCTTCATTATGTTAGCTACGATTTAGCATGTGGCCAGCAGTTTCACTTCTAGAGATCTACCCGTGACAAACGACAACACGCGTCCATAAAAAAATAGACTCACAAATGTTTAAAGCGGCTTGACTCGTAATAGCCCCAAAATGAAAACAGCCCATATGTCTGTCAACAGATGAGCGGATAAACAAATGGTGGAATCCAAGGCCATACTGCGTGGCAGTACAAAAGAACTACATGCTTATGCGCCCAGCAATATGGATGGGGCTCGCTTATGCCCAGCGAAAGAAGCCAGACCCAAAAGGCAATGTGTTGTATGAGTTCAACGATATAAAATTCTCCAACTGGAGCGAGTCACCCGGATTAACAGAAAGGGGATCGGTAGTTGCCTGCATCCTAGACTCCGGGGAGAATTGATTGCAAAGAGGCACCTTTTGGGGTAACAGAAATATTTGATATCTTGGTTAGGATAGTAGTTATATGTGAAAACTCATTGAATGGGGCAATTACACAGACATTTAATTATATGTCGATTATACCTCAATTAGTTTGTTTTATAAAGTAAAAAAAAAATTACATAGAAAAGCAACACCAAATTGCTCCCCATCAATGGATGCTAGAGATTCCATTTCTACACTTTCTATTTGGATACTTTTGGGGTTCACTTCTTGAATAATCCCTCCTTCCCTGATCTTTCTGCCTTGCTGCTTCTGTTATATATCCGAATTCCATGTGTGTGTGGCCAGTTTATGTGATCTCTGGTCCGTTTCACTGTTTATCCTGTCTTAATTCTTCCAGCCTCATTCGCAGCTCCACTGTCGTCATTTGCTCTCGTCAGCAAATGTTTAGGCTGTTCCTGAGCCCGTGTTGTTTCCTAGACATTCTGCCAAGAGCTCCTCTGTTTCTGTGCTCCGAGCAAAACCCCGCTGGAATATTGACGGGGGGGCTGTATTGATTTTATTGATCAACTTGGGTAGACTTTGGATTTTTGCAATATTAAATTCTTTGGTTTATAACTGCGGTCTATCTTTTTATTTGTTAAGATCTTCATGAATGTCTCCCAGGACAGTTTGTAATTTTCCCTGTAAAGTTTCTGAACATATTTTGTATTTATTTCAAGACATTTGATGTTTTTTTTTTATTTCATCGTAAGTGAAATCTTTCTCCTAATTATGTTTTCTTGTAGTTTTTTTTTGTTGACGTGCAGAAATATGATTTTTCCAAAAAAAATTTAATCATATATACAGGTAACTTTAGAATTTGTTTTAAAAAGAAGTCCATTGAACCCAGCCAGCATGGCTCAGGGGTTGAGCATTGACCTATGAACCAGGAGGTCATGGTTCGATTCCCGCTCAGGGCACATGCCTGCAGGGATCGTGCAGGAGGCAGCCAGTCAATGATTCTCTCTTATCATTGATGTTGCTCTCTCTCCGTCTCCCTTCCTCTCTGAAATAAAAAATATATATATTTTTTGGGAAAAAGAAGAAGCCCATTGATGGATGAGCAGAATTTGTCATGTGTGCGCCCGCATATTTTGCAAAGCGGTGGTGTTAAGGACACACTTTCCCCAAGTCCTTAAGTTACTCTTTGGAGGCGAGTCTCTGCATGTGAGGTTGGCCCTGGGTCGCAGGAGAGGGGAATGGCTGGAGCTGGGGTGCTCCCAGCTTTACGTCGAGCCCCATTCGTGCGGTCACGGATGCCAGTGAGAGGGGTCTCTGGCCAGGCCAGCATCCTTGGGTTATAACAGACACCCACGGATCTCCCACTGTCGCGATGCTTATGCCTGGCGCAGGCTGTCATCGCTAAAAACGTGTCGCTCTTCTCTTTCAGCATCCGGAGCGTGATGCAGAAGTATCTTGAGGAGAGAAATGAGATCACCTTCGACAAGATTTTCAATCAGAAAATTGGTAAGTCCCGCTGACGCATTGAGCATCTGCGCCTTCACTCTCGATGTCGCTGTCACCACAGTGATGTCTGC